GGGCTCGAGGTGGCGGGCCAGAGGAGATGAGGTGCAGGCCTCGCGCAGCAATTGGTGAAACCTCCACGTAATTTTCGAGCGCCAAGTACTGCACACGCACAGTGTGCGGAAGAAGCGTGCAGTTGTAATTCATCTCCAAAAACTCAACCAAGGCGTTGGCAGCGGCCACGCAAAGATATCGGTCGGTGTTGCCAACCTCCAGGCAGGCCTCGTCTGTTGACATGAGCTCAAAAAGACGATGCGCGCCGCGGGCCTCGTCAAAGGTGCCGCGCTGCACGCCCGTGAAGGTGATGTGACGAAAGTGACGCAACAATGTCTGCACAAAATTCCCGTCCAGCGCAGTCTCCGGCACAAGCACCTCAACGGGATTGCGGGAAAATACAAATGAAAGCGTCTTGGCGAAGGCCACGCTGTCACCGTACTGTGTGATGATGACCGCCAGGGAAGAAAACAGGCACAGAGCCACGCCCACCTCATTGGCACGGTTATGAATAAGCGCCATGACGCAGTCCCCGGTCCCTTGGCTTGCGCCAGAGCGTTTCGCCGCTGACGGTGTCGTCGCCCCTGTCCTCATACGTAGAAGGGCGGTGGTATCGGTGGCGATTACACCGGCGCGTTGCAAGGGCGCCGCGGGAGTAACAGGCTGAGAAATACGGTTGAACGGCGGACACGCGACGAAAGCGGACCGTCCCCCCAACTCAGTTGTGACACCTGCCCACGGTGATGATATGTGATGCGGGTCCTCGCCCACCGCAAAGGCAAATGACGCCTCGTTCTGCAAACCATTAGGGTAATGAGAGTTATGGGACGCACCTGCGGCGGAAATAAAAGGGGCGGAGTTGCGGACACCGGGTCTATGCGGGCGCAGATTCATGAGAGAGAGCGGCGCCCCACCCCGCCCCGTGCCAAATTGTGAGCGGGTGGTTCGCTCGTTACGTGACAAGAGAGAACGCCGTATGGGTTTCCCCCCCTCCCCAGTCTCCTTATTGCCTCTGTAGATGTATATGCACACAGATAGATAGATATGTACGCGGATGTGTCCTTCTACGTATGCCCGCAGGGGTCTCTGTCTAATTGGGGGTGATGGAGAGAAAACGCGCGCAAGAGAAAAAAAAACAACCAACGGAGGGAGAAAAACACCATCACAGAAATGCACGCGTTCATTCATTCCGTGCGCGCTGTGTGAAGCCGCAATTTCATTTGTTTTCCCGTGGTCCATGGGACCCGCGGTACGACTGCACAGGCATAAACACGCACGCACATGGGCAGAAACTCACCCATCCATCTCCTGCTCCAAATACGTTCCTTTTAGATGGAATCCAAAGGAAACTACCACCAGTCGCCCCGTCATTTTTCCTGCTCCACTTTTTTTCCCGCCAAGGCCTCCGCCTCATTGTCGTTTGTTGTTGTCGTTTGTTGTTGTTTGTTCTTGTTTGTTTGCTTTCTTTTATTCCTTCTTATTCTTTTTCGTCTGCAGTAGCGATAGATATGCATCACGGGCCTCAATCAAAGGAAGTAACTGCGTGACTCCTCCCGCCATCGTGAAAAGACAGTAGACGGCAAAAACCGCCGTTCTTGCCCTGCATGAAAAACAAATTCGAAAGGCAATGCCCAGCTCCATACAATGCACAAGCCACGCAAAGCACCATATGAGGCGGACCCCCTTCATCCCACCAAATAGTTGACTCAAACGGAAGAGGTTGCGAAGCACGACGTCCTCGAAGAAAAGCTGCATGTCGAAAGGGTACTCCTCGTTCCGCAAGGAATGGGCCTTCCTCGCCTTCAAGGTGGCGACGTATGGTGACATGACAAGGTCGGTGCCATCCTCATTGACGGTGGTGAACCATGCCAGGTAGTTAAGAAGAAAAAATAATAAAAACATTGGTGTAAAAGCCATCCGTGGCATGCGGTACTTTAGCCTGACAACATCGCCATCCTCCTCTCCCCTCCCTTTTCTTCGCCCTTCTGAGTTCATCCCCTTGTGCTCCTACTCCTGGCCCACGGATGCAACCAAACTAATGGAATAACGCCCTCATTGTGCATTTATCATTCAAAGAAAAAATGAGAAAAATAAAGAAGATGACAGCCAGCAAGGCGTAAACATTTCATCCCCCGCTGTCGCCACGACAACACACACAAACAGACATAGACAACTACGCAAAAAAAAAAAAAGCCTCGCCCACCGGCCTTCGTTCATACAACAATTTTTTTCATCCGTGTGGTGACATCACTTTCCAGCACCGGGAACAAAACACAACGGCATTCATCCAATGCGTGCATTCAGCCGTCACGGCTCAAATTTGCATCAGCGTCCTCGCAGCAAACGCCGTATGCCACGTGTCACGCCGGCCACCGCCTCTGCCGGATCGCCGTAACTGTCTACCGTGACGAATGCAGCAAAAGCAAGAGCAAAAACCGTGAGACGAATAAATGTGGCGTATCGGTCTTTGCGTCGCTCTTCCTCACTCTTCGAGCCATTGTACACCGTACGCAGACGGCCACCGACTGTCCATAGAATGCCCATGGCTTTGGTGCATGTGTGCCACCTCTCTCTCCACATTCCCTTCCTTCAAGTGATTTTCCTGTGTTCCTGCAGTGCGATGTGCCCCAACGGCAGAGACACAATAAATAAACCACAAAAAGGAAAAAAAAAGGGGGAAACAGTACACACAGAGACAATACCCCCCTTCCCTCATGCCTTCCTTCCCTCTCTCTCCGTCTGAAACTCAGGAGAAAACAAGGCAGATGTGTAGACGGGTAGCACCACAATTGGACACGATCCAATCAAGCAGACGATCACCAACTCCTCACAACACGCAGTCGCACGCAAACACACACACACAGTCTCTCTCTCTTCATTCAATTCATCAAATGATGGCCCCGCCATGAGCTGTCCTCTCCTTCTTCTTTCATTATTTCCTTGCATGTCTCAACAAAAATCACGCGGCGGACGGTGCCACAACATCGCGCAGAGAGACCCCATGATGAGTAGCACAGATATGCCGGCAAGGATCCACACGTTCACCCACATACGTGATTTCTTGAATCCTAAAAACGCCGCATATTGTGGGCCGGTATAACACATCGTTTCATTTGACTCCCCACAGCCAAAGTCACGCCCAAGAAATTGCGAAAGAATAGATGACTCATACGCCAGACGTATAAGAGAAACGTTTGAGATAAATTGGAAGGTCTTCGGTAATGTCGTGAGGTTCAAAATAATCCCCGCAAGAAGCAGATTCAACGTGTACACGGCAAAAAGAGCAAACATGGCAAAACGGCGTGTCCATATCACTGTGCAAAAGAAAAAAACAACAAAATGACTACAGAAAGACAAAACACCAATAATGAGTACAAGCTCCATGATGAATTGGTAGTAATTCCACTTCTCCACGACGTTGGAAACACAAAATCCGGCAAATGTTAACACAGAGAGAAAAAACACTCGTTCCATGATGCAATACAAAACAGCATACGTCAAGTAAGTAAACACGCCGTAATATCCATGCGTCCGATGACGTAAAAAACGGTTGTATTCCCTTCGATGTGAGTCTAATGAGAGAATACTGTAAAGAAAAGTTGAACTCACAAGAAAGAAAATAATACCGATGCGATTTTGCATGCCGCTCTGCCCCTCTTGGCTGTTATACACCGCCGCTAACACCACTCCCAGCAAAAAAACCGCAAGGAATACAACACCCTTTAAGAGAAGATTGTGTCGCACTTTAAGAAGATCATATTTAAACATATAATACAACCGAACATGAGCGCCAGGACTGGAGTACGGTGGTCCTTCAAGCATCTCTCGCCCCACGGCACAATTGTGAAAAAATTGCACGACGCTCTGATGCACACGCTCCGCATTGCCTGAAGGTGCGAAGATGTCTACGAGTGACTTTTCCGAGCTGGACGCAAGCCGGTATAAGGAGTTAATCGCATTCTCCGCAAGACCGGCTGTCGGGTCCACCCGGATGGCAGAAAACAGCTCCGTTACTGTCCCACAAAACACACAGGTTTCACGCTCGAGAAGAATCACGTCATCCACAAACTTCAAAATCGCCCAACGTGGCTGAGACATGGAGACCAACACAATGCGCATCCTCTCTCGCTGAGAATTTGTTGCCAAACTGTGAGGTGCCAAGGTGGCTCCGTCAGTCATCGGAACGGCAGTTCCTGCGTTGTTGGGCAGGACTTGGGAAGATACAACGGAAGCGGGTGAAGACGAAGGACGAGGAGGCAGCAAAAACGGAGATCGCGAGGTGATTAAATCCAAAGAAACCGTCATGGGAGCTGCAATTCGTCGGAGGAGACGCATAAACTCCTGCGCTTCGTGGGTTCGTAGGCCCTCCAACAGTTGGTCAAAGCAAAGCACCAGCGGATTCAGCAGCAACTCTCTACCCAGTGAGACACGACGACGCACGTACGGGGAGCATCTATGCACCACAGCATCCGCAACACTTTCAAGCATTAACTCTTCAAGAATTTCCTGCACAGTAAAGGCACTCGTGGCGATCCGCATGGACGCGGCGTACTCAATGCTTTCACGCACGGTTAGCTCCTCCAATGCAGTGAAGCCCTCGTCGATAAGCACCGTGCGGTGAAGGTACGCGGGAGCATCCAATGGAATGCCGTTCATCATGATCGTTCCGCTGGCACACTCCTCACGCCCTGTGAGTGCGCCAAGTAGGAAGGAGTCACTCTGCGTGCCACTGCAGTTTACAATCGCCGTCAGCCGACCGCCGTATATGATCCCGGAGGCACTGTTGATTACAACACGCTTGTCCCGCTGTATCGTTAAATTCTCAAACCCCAGCGTCAGCGATAAAGAAGAGGCACTCGAGGCTGAAAAATAACTGGAGCCGGCAACACGTGAGGTAGACATACTCTCTTACTATTCCCTCTATACAAACAAACAAAAATAAAATTAAAAACAAAAAATAAATTTTGATATATATATTTTTACGTATATATATATTACAAATATGTGGCTATGTACTAGTGGCTAGTCGTTTGGCAATGCAATGTGAATACGGCAACAGGAGCAACAAAGAGTCAGAATACACACACAGAGACGCAGAAGGAAAAGGGGGAAATTGGCCCTATTTATAAGCCCATAAACGAGAACGTCTCTTACAATAACCAACAAAACCAAATGAAACATTCTCCCCTCCCCTTAGTACCAAAAAGAAAAAAAAAGAAAAAGACGGCGTCTTCACTGCAAAAAAGAAAAAGGAATAAATGTAAAGTGAGACGCCAGACATGTTAATCAAGATGCATTTAATAAAATAAAAACGCATAGGAGAACAGACGCATTTGACCTGAGCTCATGCAAGAGGTGTGCAGAAAAGCCGCACTGCATCGATTAGTTCCCTCGTCGGCTGTGAAGCTTCATCCAAAGCGTTTGGCGGCAACAGCGCCATCAGGGAGCGTAACTTCCGCTCAAGCAACGCAAGGAATCGCTGGCCAGCCATTCGCTCTTCCACGGTAAGAAAAAAGGGTCGTGTGTTGATGTGCTGCAAGATGCGAAGTGCAGCAGCCCCGCCACGTGTCCCAAATTTTTCATTGCCTGCACCCCAAAGCACCTCAAGTGCCAATTGTCGTGTAACGGCGCAAAAGGTGCGGCGCACCGTCAAGTGGCGACACGGCTGCAAAACATACGCCATTGCGTCAAGGATGTCGTAACGATTTGGCACATCCGCCGCCGTACGGACAAGAGAGTACTGCCACGTTGGGGCCACGGCTGCTGCCGCCAGAGTGGCGGGCTCCACAAGACCACGAATGACTCGCGCGGCGCTCTCCACGGCCACCGAAAACGCAGCCGGTGACATCTTCGTGACATCCGTCCCAGAGGGAGATCCCTCCGGTAAATCCTGCCGTTGTGCATATTCTCCCTGTTGCCGTTGCAATTCCTTTTCAACGGAAGTTAACAGCATTGCCCTCGCGACGACGCACTCTAGACGCACAAAGTGTTCAATAGCAGCCATGAATGCCTCCCGCAACTCCAGTGGCACGCGTGGCTCGCCCCCATTCTGTACCTCATGTCCCACCCACTGCACCACAGTGGAAGAAAGCACTAAGAGGTGGGCGAGTCGGTCATTGCAATGCCCAACAACATTGCCGCTTTGCCACATGGATGCTGCAAGACCCAACGCAATGTCATTCTCAAGCCTGGCTGCCACGCTGGGAAACGGTGGCGGTCTCGCTTCCCTTGCAAGCAACACCTGTGTCAGACCTCGACCTTTCCGCCTGCCAATACACGGCTCCGCACGACAATAAGATGCGCTTAGCCATGAGAAGGTGGAGCGTTTGCCCGCCCGCCGTCGCTGACCCTTCTCCTTCTCCGCCTGAAGACAAGAAGACACTGAATTGTGAACAGTTGTGGAACGTCGAAGCATCTGCAACGGTGACGCGTACTGAGAGGCAAACATGCGCCCACCCTGTTCGGTAGCTATTGGCTCACCACCATGGCGTTTTAATTCCCGCTGAATACGGATAGCCTCCACCACTGAGAGATGCAACGGCTGATCGTCATCATCGTAACCACGACTACCACCCACGCAATGCACCGCCGTCATCTGGATAAATCAAAGAAGAGAAAAGGTTTCTCAATTGTTTTGACTGGGCCCCTCTTCAAGAAATGCAAAACGAACTAAAAGACAAACGGCAAAATCCCCTTGTTCCATGAGCCAACATCCACAAACAAAAAAAAGATAAATTGAGACGCATATGAAAAAGGTGCAGCAACCACAACAGAGCAATCGCGCCTTCCACAACGCAAATAGACGCCTTTTTCAAAGCAAACTAATCAAATACAAAAAAGAGCCGGCCTCAGCGGCGGGAAATATATATGTATAATTAAGGTTGCGTAGTAATAGACAAACTGCACGCAATGTGTTACAAAAGCCCTTCCGCCTCCAAAAGTACACGATATTCAGCAAAAACGCGCTGTAACATGGCACTTGGGGAGGCACTGGTGATCATCACTCCCAGCGCCTGCCGAAGTGCTGCACGAAGCGCATCCTGCTCCTTGTATTGTGCAAAGTTCTCTAAGGAACTCCCCGACACCTGCAAAGACTCACAAAGTGCACGAGCTACTTTGGGTGAGAGATCTTCCACGGCGTAGCGCCCTGCCGCAAGACATGTCATGGGAACCTTTGCAAGTGCCATTGCCGCCTGTGTGCGCACTTTAAATATGCGATCGTGGCAAACAATAACGCATAGTCGTTCCACTGCCCGTGTTGCCGCCTGTGGCTCCGCCTCAAAGACTACCTCCCGCGAAAGACCAAGTCCAAGAGCACATGCAGCGTTCCAGCGTAGCTTGGCATCACGGTACGAGGGCAACAAAAAACGGAGTAGAGCGTTAAAGTATCCCTCCGCCACACCCTCCCGCTTTTCTGACAATTCTCCAATAAGTTCCTCAAAACTAAGACTATGCAACAGGTGACTCATCATACGGATACCATGGCTGACAACTGCGGGGTCCTCGCGAACTTGTGTTGCGTACATGGCAACGTCGCAAAGAAGCTGCATATGATATGGAGATTGCCGCAGTAGGCTACTATCGTTCTCTTCTCCAAGACGAGAGGTAATGTTCGACAGGGCAAAAGCAGCCTTAAAACGCACTGCGGGCTCTGCATCATCACACAATGCACTTACAGAGCGTTCAACAAAGTCCGATAACCATTCACCAAACGTACTGTACTGCCACGCCCACACCCCTATCGTTGTAAAAGACTCAGACCGCACACTACTCTCATGTGCAGTTGTACTATTAATTACATGTACAACAATCCCTTCACGCACGGTGGCGGAAATGGAAGAAAAGTACTCGTCACCGACCTGCGCCAAACACCGTAGTGCCGTTCGCCGAGCCTCATTGTATCGCAACCCATCAGACGTCATCTGAAGAACTGGCAAAACGAGTTCTGTGAGGAGCTGCTTCTTCTGATGCGGGGTTGCGCGATGGGGCAAGTGTTCCTGTCGCAGTGCTGGATCGGCAGAATGACCGTCAAAAGACTGCCACACGTAACCCATAAAATGCAGCCATGCCCGTAAACATTCTCCCAATGTATTGCCCACAGCCATTTCCGCGCTCTCGTGTTGCTTTTTATTCTCAGCCGCCTCTTCTTCCTCTATCTTTTGTGAGGCAGCACGGAGAACAGCGAGAGACGCCTCCAAGAGAATGGTGAAATGCGCCCCGACGATCAATGGATGAATACGGGACAGCTGCACCACACACCGCCAAACCTCAACACGACTCGCCGCGTGCGTGAGCAACGCCTCCAGCAACAGGGCGCCCCCGCCAACATGCCGGTCTACGGGACGATTGCTTGGACCTTTGATTTTAGCGCTGGTATCTCCGCCCTCACAAAAAAGGTACGACTGCAGCATTTTGGTAAGCGAGTCCGCCTTGAATACAGAGATAAGAAACGCCGCTGCCGGTGCAAATTCGTCACAGGATGCGTCCAAAAGAATATCTCGTAACAAAGGCAGTTCTAAAGCCTCTTTTATCACATCAAAGGCATGAGGGCAGCGGCGGTAGGGAGTGGTGGACACAAGCACCCCAAAGGAAGAAAGCACAAGGTCCTTGAAGAAGTGAGAAGTGGTGGCCGTAGCAGCAGACATGTCACCCACCGCGGGCAGCTTATTTGGAAGCTGCAGGGCATATATTAGTACGTCGTGGAGAAATGACAGGGTCCGACCACTCTGTGACGCCAGTGACGAGAATGACTGGCGATTTTGATGTGGTTCTTCTGCGTATTTAAAGTTGTGCTGCAAATTACGTAAAAGAGACGATACAAGTGCGGCCGCAGCAGCGCGGACACGTTGTTCAGGACTCCATAAGAATGGCGTAAGAAGTGGATGAATAAAATGCGGATCCCTGGCATCGACTTCCGGGAAGAGCGCCGGCAAATACCGCATGGCGTTAAATGGTACATTGCTAAAACGCGTCAGTGCCGCTGTCAGCAGGTACAAAGCTGCCATATTCAACTCTGCGTAAAGGTCCAGAGAAATTGTAGGGCCTTTCAACAACTTCTTGCCACCTTTTCCACGTTGCGCCGCGCCATAAGTTGAGAGCCGCACCACGGCGTCCACTGCAACCCGAAATGTTTCTTCCGCTGTCTGCATTTCCAGGCCCGGATTCTCATTCTCCGTGCTTTGGCGGTTATTCTGATCGTGACGGCGGAAGGGTCGCGTCACCGGTGTGGTGCGACCACTACTCTCTTGTGAGGAAAATTCGCCAGGAGACCCCGCCGATGGCCGTGCGGTAGCAAAGCAGTACAAAGCCATCACCCTCAGAAGAAGCAAAATGCGCTCAGTCATCACCCGCTCGTCGTTATTTCCAGCTGCCGCGGACATTTTTAGTGAGTGCATAAAACTGTTCAGTTTCGACACAGCCCCCAAATACAGGGACGGCGTGGGGATGGGAGTTTTCTCCCATGACAGCACTGCTGTTGAATCCGCTGTTGTTGCTGCCTCTGTTGTAGACACTTGCGGAAATGTTCTCTGCATAATCACACTGGCCTCTGCCTCCATTTTGGTGAGCTCTCCGCAGCCACACACCAACGCCTGAGCATCGCGAATTAATGTGTTACAGAAGGTCCAAATAGACCTACAGACTGCACTCTCCGTCTCCCCCAAAGAAAATGGCAGCATTTTTGTCGCTGAGCTTTTCCGGAAATAGCAGCACGGGAATATCCAACTATTTAATGTGTTCAGCCTCCTCCTTCTCACTCACACACACACACACGCTCTCTCTCTATGCGTCTATTATACGTATCTCTGAGGCCACTTTTGAACTGCTGCTCACGATGAAAACCAAAAAAAAAAAAAAAGCAGGTGGAAGAAAATAAACAAGGAGAAGAATTTAAAGGAAAAAAA